GAAGAACATATATATTATTGTTTTTATCAACCAGATAATCCAACAAATATTTACTCAGTTAGGAGGATATTAATCAAGTACTCATCACCAATTTCCTGCTTTGTGGAGGGGACCAGTTTTCTTCATGTATTCGTTTGTTTTCTTCCTTCATTGTGCGGCAAATGAGGGTTTTTTTTTTCCCCTTTCCAAACCTAATCCCTTTTTTCCTTTGATTATTCAAAACTAATTCTTCGAAATAATGGTGTTGTGCATCATTCTCAAGCATGACTTGGAATTCGATTTAATAAATTTTTGAATATCATTATGAGGAGGTAATGATAGAAAGTCAATATCTCGAGTATAAACCATGTGAAAAGAAAAAAAAAAGAAATTTTGGAAGACTCTTTACCTTTCAAAACAAATTCTTCGGATGGTCGTACAACAATTAACATGTACTTTTTCCGTCTCAAAAAAATAATAATCAATATTTATTATTGCTTTGGAAGAGAGAGTAATATGTTTTGTATGTGCAGGTAGTAAAAAGGGAAAATTGTTTCCTCATGGATTGGACGTTTTATCTCTTGAAAATGGAAATGAACAAGTAAGTACTCATACTAAAAAAAATTGAAGGGAAAATGGTTTCGGCCTGAGGAGCAAGGATGCTTGTCAGTGCATAAAGGCCTTACTTAATATCTTAGTTCTAGGCCGAGTCCGTCATGTTTATTTATTCCAAAACCGCTATGTTTTCAGTTGGACCGGAATTAAGAAAATGAAAGGATATCCCCAATTAAAAAGACCAGGTTTTAGCACCTAATTCATTCTTATCCATCATTGGCTCCATTATGGAGCCCATTGGTATGCATGTGAGATGGCCACCGTTAACGGTCTAGGTTCAGAACCCAAACTACAGCCCGCCAGAATTTTGAACCCACTAGAAGTCTACAACATTTCATAGAGACCATAATAAAGTCCAATTTGTAGATTTTCGACAAAAATAAGAAAAATTGTAAGCTATGTTATTCATATATAACTTCGTAAGATTCTCTTTTTCAAAATTATTATCCAATTTGAAATTTCACTTTTAGTATAATTTGAATTAGAAATGAAAACTCATACTGGACAATAATTATGGGACAGAGAGAGTATGGTGTAAAGAGTAACTATAAGCTCATATTCAGCCTAAACAAAATTATGTCCAACTTGTTGTATTTCCCTCATTCCAAAAATATACTTATTTCATCAATTCAATAAACTGGACTATCTTTTTGGTATACTTTCAGTACTATTTCCAGACCATTGCTTTGGAACAATTTTTGAGACAGTTATCTTTTTGATAACTTGTTACTACCTTTTTTTATTATTATTTAATCTCCTCGTTAATTTAATGTCTATAAATTTGTCAGATTGTAGCTAGTTGTTGAATGCAGTTCCAACCACAAAACCCTGGTTTCTTCTAATTATTCTTTTGGTCATAATTGATTATGTGATTCCAGTTCAGATTAATTAATTATGCGTATATAAAGTATGCACGATTATAATAACTGTGGAAAATGTTGACCATAAGATTTTTATTCAACTACTTATAAATCATTCACTAACTTCAACCTAATATAGATTAAATTTGCCAATATTAACTCCCATATATATATCTATTGTATTCTCAAGTTAGACACAACAACCAAAACTAATAGATTCTCGACATGAAGTTTAGAAGTAGAAACTTCTATAGTTATAGTTGATAAATACTTTATTCTTGTGCCATATACCTTACATTGTAAAAATGAGGTAATAAATTGTTCATATATGAAATAGTAAATAGGAGTATATTATAATTAATGCCAATCGCTAAATGTGTATTTGACGGGTATGTCTCCTGTTTCATTGATTTTTGTCGGGTATGTATCCTGATTTCACTAGTTATTCATATACATAAGTAGTGATTCAGGCTTGCCCAAAACCATGAATGGTCTTACTTTAATCGAGCAAAGGATGAGTTATAACCTCCACAAGTAAGCAACAATTATACTGTATAATAATTGCCACAAGTAAACAATTAGCTTAGATTACTACTGATCAACTCGCATACTGAAAGCTATTACATAGCATATATAGGAAGTAGTAATAATTCTACCTCATTGAAAGGAAACTTTAGTAAATAAAAAAACTTTAGATATTTTTGTTCGTCGAAATTACATAAGCATAGGAGGAAAAATTCAGTTTAAAGCTAGTATTTTCCTGAAGGGAAAAAAAAATCAACTATTCACAATGCACCTGAACAAAATTCTTACAGTTTACTATCTATTGTCTTTTATTTTATTTATTTATTTTTACGTCCAGTGTATATAGATAGAAATATATATATATATATATATATATCACATGTTTAATTAGTAAAAAAACAGTAAGTTGTACTGAAAAAAAGTAAAAAAAAAAAAAATTAAAGAAAAGAATAAGCTAAAAGTCATTAGTATAATTCGTCAAACAAGGAATGTTGGAGCTGAAATTTTCAAAATGCATGACGTAGTTCAGAAGTTGCATATGATTAGAATAAATTAGAATCATAATCATCACATATTAAAAATGTACAAGTAGGAGCTGAAATCTTCAGAAAGTTTTAATCGAAGATATCAGAAATTTCTTCCTTTTTTCGATTCCGCCCTTGTGGCGATTTTAAAGAAGGGAATGGGCAGCTTCGTGATTGTGAGAAGATTTAGCTGACAAAAATAGGTGGAGGGATTAGTTTTGGGTTTTTTTTTTTTTTTTTTTAAAAAAAATTCTATTTGAAATGACAGTGAAGTTTTTTGCTCTGCTCGTTTACACCAAAACATTTGTCCATTCCTTGAATTGGCAACTTTTAATTGTTAGAAGTTTGGACACATACATAATTAGCCGTCTTACAGTCAACACAAGCTACCAAGGTAGTGTTACTTTAGTCGTTAAACAGGTCGGCACATGTTAATTCGGATCATCTTCTTGTCATTAACTCCTTTGAAGAACACTACAATTTTGCAGATAAAGTTTGCTGATCTTTTACGCATTTGACAAATCGTATGCATTGACAAGTTAATTATATATGTATTGGTTCCTAAATTCGAGTTTGGAGATTAAATAATAATCATCTGGGTATGAACTCGGATAATGAATTATCTTTAAGGAAAATTACGAATAATTTGTACTTCACTTTTGTCAATACTTTTTATGTATCAAGTGATACTCCCTTTGGTGTTTGCTTCATGATGAATGGAATGAGCATTCATCTTTTAATTGTCACGCAATGAAAATGTCCATTCCCTTAGTAATTAAAATCATACTCTTTTTTTTTTGAAATTAAAATTATATTATATTACTTTTTAGTGGAAATCGTCCAACAATAATTGATAATTAGAGTTACACTTAATACAAGAACACAACTTAGAATCAAACATATCACTATTGTTGTTGTGTTTCTCGTGGATAACCTATCTAGATTCAACTAACATAACGATGGATATACGTGTCAGATAATCAATCTGATCAAGGATATATCTCTAATCATATGATGAAGACTCCAACTCATAGATCTATCAAATAAATCTATGATAACTCAATTTTCTCGGACCGTTTAGTGTAAAACAACGAACGAAATTATGATCACGAACATCGCAGCAACCATATAGAAAACATCATGACCACTACTTAATACACCACGAACCCTGCAACAGTAATTAAAATCTTACTTTATATATAAGATTGGGTGCACAATAATTATACCTTCGTTTATTGTACAATTTCTTTGATGTTACCGAGGTATATATGACATTAACTGAGTTTCTTTGTTAATTTCCACATAATTATAGCACTCAAATTTCATTTGTCAAAAATTTAAAACTAAGAAAGAACATATAAGTATTATACAAACGTAGAAATGTAGACCAAAAAGTGTTCATATCACAAGAAAAAATAATTTATACTACCCTCATAACCTAACCCTATTTCAAATTCAATTATGAGAATTTGCAAAAACGTCACTAGATGATGATATGATGTGGATACGATCCTTTCTCACATCTTGGACGGCGTCATAACTATACAATTTGACAAGGTTGCTGATTAGATTAAATGCATGCTCTTTATGATTTAATTACCGATAAGAATTAAAATTAAATTACTAGTGATGAGATAATAATTTTAATACACGTAAATTCACCAACTCGCCTCTTAAACAAAGCCTACCTAATCACAGGCGGCCAGTTGAAAATTAGTTAACCCAGTCAATAAACCTATGAACTATGGTTGCTTAGCCGATTGTCTTTCCCAAATGATTAATTAAGATGGTTAGTTTAATTCGTGACAAAACCCCAGTAGTTTGAAGGGTACTCTGTCGTTTGTTTTAGTAGTAGTAGTTTTTTTTCCTCCCTTAAAAAAAGAACTACCATATTGTAGAGTAATATAAAAGACGTGTACTCTTAAGGCATGCACGTCAGTGTATCCTATATAGTCAACTGTAGTTAAATAAGGAAGAAATATATATATATATATATATATATATATATATCATCCATTTCAATGCAAATATTTCGTTTCTACATAAGACATAACTTGAGAACTAAATTTAATTTGAATTCGTACTTTATAATCTCAAAAAAATAGAGAAAACAAAAGGGAAAAGAAAAACGGAAATCTCACGTAGTATACCTCATAATATGTAACTTACTTACACGGTCTTCAAAGAAGGTGTCAATTTTTTTCTTTCTCTGTAAATTATACTAATGTTTAGATTGTGATTTGTGCCCAATGAGCATGGATTTATCCCAAACACAAAATATAATTCTAATAATCATGGCTGCACAACTAAGCAAGTCTAGCAAATCTGATAGCAACGGTTCAACAAATCAAAGGATAACACCGACAAAAATCTTGTAGTATAAATATAGAGTCAGATTCTCATCATTTCCACGGCAGAATTAAAAGAGCTATATTAAGTTCTTAACAATAACAATAATTAAGCTTTTCATAAAATAGTGATTTTCTCTCCTGCATGCATGGCTCCTTCCAATTCAAGAAAGCTTAATTTCTTGCTCCATTGCTTGATTGTATGCCTTGCTTTTGTTGCCTTGATAAACAAGGCAAATGGTCAGTCCCTGTCGCCCAATTACTACGACAAATCGTGCCCGGCATTCAAATCTACGGTTAAAACCGTGATCGATGACGTAATGTCTGTCGCAAAAAGTCTTGCCGGACCTCTTTTGAGAATGCATTTTCATGATTGCTTTGTGAGGGTACGTTACGGGATCACCTTTTATTTCTTTGCCTTTTAATTACTCATTGAACTATCCGCTTGCTTACTTGTTTAATTTAATTGGAGTGCAGGGTTGCGATGGTTCCGTTTTATTGGACACTCCAAATGTTACTGAAAAGTATGGCCCCCCAAATCTTAGCCTAAGAGGATTTGGTGTCATTGATAGGGTGAAGACAGCAGTTGAGCGGGTTTGCCCAGGTGTTGTTTCATGTGCAGACATCGTAGCCTTAGTAGCTAAAGACGTGACCGTCGCGGTAAATATTTGGTCGTCTCAAAATCCGTTCTTTTCATGTTTCTTTAGTCACCACAGAGATCACGAATTTTATTCTCGCAGATTGCATGCTTCTTATATCATCACATAAATCAACTTTTGCATGCTTCTTATATGTAGTATTCTACATATGTACTTAGGATATTGTTTAATTTGTCATCTTTGTGATTTCCTTCAGACAAATGGACCGTCATGGGAAGTTGAATTTGGTCGTAAAGATGGAAAAACGTCACTACTTGCCGAGACCATTAACGGCAACTTATTACCGCCTTCTGCCAACATTAACGCTTTAAAACAAGGATTTTTAAACAAGGGTTTAAGCATCAAGGACCTGGTTGTGCTATCAGGTATGCCCATTTAATTCACTGTATTTTTTCTTTTCTTTTTTTATAGAATTATAAAGTCAAGACTCAAGAGTAGTTATGAACTTCTTTTTTTCCTATTCAACAAATGGCAGGAAGTCACACCATAGGAACATCTCACTGTTCATCATTCGACAACCGTCTCTACAACTTCACCGGAAAAGGACTTAACAACGACTCGGATCCCAAGTTGGATCCCAACTACGTTGTGAACCTGAAAAAAAAATGCAAACACGGCGATCAGACGACGCTGGTGGAGATGGATCCGGGAAGCTTCAAGACATTTGACAAAGAGTTCTATACGTTGGTGGCTAAAAGAAGGGGACTTTTCCAGTCAGATGCGGCTTTGCTTGATGACCCTCAAACCAAAGCTTACGTGTTTCAAATCGCTCAGAATTACTATGGGACCGCTACTTTCTTCAAGGATTTTGGAGACTCCATGATCAAAATGGGAAGAATTGGGGTTCTTACCGGTAATCAAGGTGAAATCAGAAAAGTTTGCTCCAAGGTCAACTAAGCATCTAGCTATAGCTCTAGTACTGTTTTTAGTTTTGAATGATGCAATTTGGTTGGTTTTCTTTTTCTTTTTCCTTTTTCGGTTTTGTTTTTGTTCACAAGTTGTTACGTGGGAATTTGATGGAAAGCTTAGCCTAAAGGGCAAACATTTCCACCATAAAAAGTGTAATAAATTGAAGATGTACATGCAAGTGCAAATGCATTTTTGCACTGGTTTTTTTTTTCCCTCCAAAAAGTGTATTTGGTTTCATGGTCAGTGGATTAATAAAATATTACGTGTGTTTCATTGTTTATAAGAGTTGTTCATCATGACATGAATTATCATTAACTTATTACTTGTTATTGACTTTTCCATCGGAAGTCCTTTTTTTTTTTAATCGCTCAGTACTTGATAGCCTGTCCATTTCCCACATCAACTGAAACCATTTTTGAATTCGTAAATGCTTTTAAATTTTGTGAAATTGATTGATCTCCAATTCATAAGCAATGCCACGCGGTTGGTTTTAATTGTTATTTAATTGAGGAGTGTGTTATTACAAAATCAATAGGAGCAGTTTGGATTAGCTGTAAAGCTGCGTAAGAGGATTTAAATCATATTCTTCTGCAAAAGTATATCTTTGTACCTTTGAATAAAGAAGTTTACACATCCAGTGAGGGAAAAAAAAACCAAAAAAAAAAAAAAGAAACATTGAAATTCACTTCTCATCTTGATGCAAGTTTATGTCATACATTATTATCTCCAAGAAGTAATATCTCCTCTATCCCAAATTAAAGTTATATTTATTGCACTAAAATAGTATATCAAATAAGATTCTTATTTTGGATAGAACAATAATACTTCATCTATTCTGAAAATAATAGACTACTTTAATATCTTATTTTAATTCAAGATAACAGTCTAGTTTTCCAAGAGGAAGAAATAATAAAAAATTGTGAAGAAAGTGGAAACAAAGGAAGAGTATATTGTTTGTCAAATACGTACGTCTCGTATACTAGTGAAATTAGCATCAAACACCACTTTTGGCATGTGACCGTTCTTTCTTCATGGTGAAGGTCATTCATATTCTCATACTTAGTACTAAGTCTTAGCTGGTTTAATGCATACATGAAGAACTAGTTTGATGCTCGCGATGGCACATTATATATACATTGCCAGCATAAATATGATTTATTAGTTAAGTTGATGATGAAATACAATTAGATAAAATTGTTTTTCATAGGTAATACAAGAGTAAAGGCCGGGGATGAGCAGCTAGCTATATAGCTTATTATTATTTTGGAACATTATTCTTTCCTCTTACCCCATGCAAAAGCAACACAACACATCCTCGAACTTTCCTTAGAACTTAGGCCACCTTTCTAACTATAGAGTTTTGTCACTATTTATAAACAACCTCCAAAATAGTACCTATTCATCATCAATTTATGCCCCAAAAAATTATCTATTTTTCACATTCAATTAAGGAGAAAAAAAAAAGTACATAGAAAGGAAAACCATGTATTCGTCCTACCAGTTGCCTATTCAAAGCACCCCGCAGCCGCCGCCACCTCCGGTAAGGCGGCACCGCTCTGCCCGTTACTATGCCCACCAACTCCGGGAGAGCTTTGCCACTAGGGTTTCGAAACTCGCATGCTCCATTTTCTTGTTCTTGCTATTTTTGATTGGCATGATCACCTTCATCTTGTGGTTGAGTCTGCGCCCGCATCGGCCGAGGTTCCACATCCGCGACTTCTCAATCCCGGCAATCACTCAAGCAAACGGATTCCAAAATGCGCAGATAAATTTCAACGTTACGGCTCGAAATCCAAATGCAAACATCGGAGTCTACTATGATTCTACGCATGTTTCGGTATGGTACGATGATCAAAGTGTCGGGGCGACTCCTGTACTGTTTCCGTTCTACCAAGGGCCTAAAAACACAACCATTATTGATGGCAGTCTGAGTGGAGCTACACTGACGGTTGACAATCAGAGATGGCAGGAATTCGTCAGTGATCGGTCGCAAGGGAGGGTGGTGTTCAAGCTGGAAGTAACGTCGGTGATTCGGTTCAAAATCAGCTCGTGGAATAGTAAGCGGCACACAATGCATGCAAATTGTGACGCTGAAGTTGGTTCAGATGGATCCATCTTGGAAACTTCTAAAAATAAGAGATGCCCGGTTTATTTTAGCTGATTTACTTGCCTGGTTTCAACAGAGATGTCGTCAACCCAGTCACCCAAAGAACTAATTATTATTATTATTATTATTTTGTTAATCCCTATTTATTTCCCCCTTCTTCATTCGTTCCATTCTATTCCATTTGTTTTGGATTCAATGTATATTCAATTTCTTGTCCAAAATATTCATGAATGATGAATTCTTATGCGAACTGAACTACTGAAGGCATTTTCTGGCAACTCTGTTTGATGACATATTTATATCTGTAAATTATGACATGTTTTACATTAACTAGGATTATGTTTACTAATAATGACTAATTCCATATTACGCAACCATGCGGGAAAAAGTTCTAATTTTTTTTAAAAAAAGAAAGTTAGTTCATTACCAGATGTACATAAAGAGTAAAATTATCAACTAAAATTCTTGTCAAGTTTAAATTTTTATATCTAATACAATTTTTACTAAAAATAAAATCTAAAACTTGGGAATTATTTTGAGACGGAGAAAGTATTAGTGAAACTATGAGAGCTCAAAAGACGTCATGACAAATTTCTATTCAAACTTGTTTTCCTTGCGAGGCACCATTGACATAAGAACGCAATGCATCCGTTCTGATAAAACCTAGTTCGCTTTATGATCAATATTATTGTTGTTTAACAAATGTTTCTAGGACGAAGGGAGGCTACCAACACTGAGTAAACACCTAGGAATTCCATGATTAAGCCTCAATTATTCTGTTCATTTTTTCAGTTTTTTCTTCTTTTTTTCAACAAACGGTAAAGGGAAAGGTGCCTTTTATTGCATCTCTCTAATTGGTCAGGAATGTAGTGTATTCTATGAGTGATCAAGTTGAATCACTTTATACATTTAATCGACATAGTAACACGACACTGAAACTTTCCAGATTTCACTCGCAAACGCGAAACATAACCTGATTGTGACCACAATAATCGGTAACTCTTTGTTCGATAATCTAATTTTGGAATTTGAACTGAAACTTCCAACGCATTGCTACTGCAGCAAAAAAAGAATCTACAATAAAGTGAAAGAAACTGAAAGAAGAAAAGCATCAGTGGGGAACCTATCATGCTTTTCTAAACATCATACATCAAAAAGCAACACATCTGTACTAAGTTGCTATCCTAAAAAGATTCCAGATGTTTTTCTTTCCCTTCCCAAGTGCTACTATTTCAGAAGACATCTTGGCATTCTCTTCCAAAACCTCCTAAGACATAGCCAGCCATAGGCCACACAGCATATGAAAACATACAGTAATCACTGAATTAAGTAGTTCATTTCTGGTCTCACAAAATGGTAGAAGTCACAAGCTTTAAACTGTGGGCCTGTCAAATTATTATCCTTTCTGGGTTGCTAGCCTTCTTCATATGGTTAGGGATACGCCCGAAAAGCCCCAGTTACACAATCACCCAATTCTCTCTTCAGAATGGTACCATTCCCTTTGCCTTAGAGATTGAAAATCCTAATAAAGATTCAGGTATTTACTATGATGACATCTTCTTGACTTTTTCTAACCATCAGGACAATATTGGATTGTATAATATTTCACGTTTTTATCAAGATAAAGGGGATAATACTCCAGAAATTGGAAGTCTTGCGGTGGTGGTTAGCCAGAGGAAAAAACTGGAGGACGAGATATCAAATCAGAAAGCTCAGTTGAAGGTTGTTCTAGTGACAAGGATTCAATATCGAACCTGGGGTATTAAGAGCAGGCGTCATAAGATGCAGTTGGATGCTCAACTACCGGTTGGAACAGATGGAAAGATTCCAGGCAAGACCAAGCTGCATGTTAGCTGGAAGAAATGGAGAACGAGATCAATGTAACTTATGCACACCCTATCTTTAGATGTTGAAGAAACATATACTTTTTTTTTTCCGATAGTTAATCATTGAGTTTATGCACACAGGCAATACAGTAGAAAGAAAGGCATTCTTTGAAAAAAATAAGTGATCTTATTGAAGCTCATATATAAATTATATAGTTCGGCAATGATTCTCCACTTGCCCACGAGAACATAGGGCGAGGTACATGCCAATAGTTTATCCGATACTTTTCAAAAGGAAAGTTTATCAGAAGATTCCTATCTGAGCTAAAACCACTCAAAAGTATATTTTCTTGGCAGTTTAGATGCATGATCATCAAATGTCGATCCATTCCAAATGAGCGCCTCAGTAGTCAGTAGCATACTTTTGTTTAGTAAGTTGAGCATTAAATGAAGTTCAATGTCCTGGATAATCCGAGGCGCAACAAAAATTTTCAGATTAAACTCTTCGGTGGATAAGAGAACACAGATTAATCCCTTCGACTGCAAAATTCTTATACTAAAGGATTTAGAACAAGAAACAAATCAATCAAGAAGGTTACGACAATGATTAATTGTTTGATTAGAAGCATAGCTGAAAAAACCTACCCAAAAAGGTCTACATAGAAGTCCAAGACCCAAACTGAATAACATTTCCAGAAAAGAAAACACTACATAATTGCATGCAAAACAATAATGAGATTAACCATATCTGTAAGTTGACAATTACCAGAACTATTATACTACCTACATAATTCATCAGACTTTGTAGTTCTGTAAGTATCCTAACCCCAACACTCATATAGCAGTCCTCTATATATGATGATTTGTCAATCATGTCTAAAGGTGTATGTCCTCTTAGTGCTAGTGGTTGCATGAGCCATTCATTCAAAACAGAAATACTGTAACTCTTAGCAGCAAAAACAACCTCACCCTGCTAAAGAAGAGAAGAAAGGAACCATAGACCAGATATAGAAGTTTTCAGGCATTTCGTCCCCTCGGCAGAACTTAAATGTTTGATGAACCAAAAGAGCACCTCAGGTCAACAACAGGTGGGGCACCAAAGTCTGCAAACTGACAGTGCCTCTGGAACGAGTTGGTTTTTCTATTTCAATGACTGATGCTGAGCAGCTAGAACTCTTCGCCATTTGCCAATTGGCATCTGCAGCAAAACCAGCTGCCTATAAATCTTTTTGCCGCATTGAAGAAAATAGATTCAGAGTTTGGAAAATTTTAACTCCAAAAACATAAGAAAATATCCTTACAGCAGGGAAGCCACCATAATCCCCAGGTTCATGAATGTCTTTTGTAACACAGCTATTAGCAGCCAACCTGACCTGCAGAATGCATAGCTCAACTATAATAAATATATTCATCAGAACAGGATGAAACAAATTGAAGGTCATTGCATTTGAGTCTTCTTAGCCTATCATGAAGCAACTAATAAAAAGCGAACCCAATTCTGAATATCTCTGCATGTCAGAAGTAGTGGCTGAAGACATCTGGAATGAGGCAATATTCAGAAATGATTACTAAGAAACATCTAACTGGAAATATACACAGTAAGATGCAGATAGTGATACATATCAGCAGCTTTGAAGCTGGCAGACCAATATTTACTTTTAGCATTAAGATTCAGGTATCTTTGAGAACCAACGAGGCAAATAAAAGAAATGGATGTTTAATATGTCAAACTAATGAAATTGGATTTACTACAATTCGGACAGTGAGAGTAAGTGCAAATGATATTAACATAGTACTACAACTATCTTGCCTTCGATGAGATGGAGACATGGTCTCGAATGGCAACTCTTCCACCCATTGTCACATAGTCACCAATCCTGCAGATATTCCACAAAATTATAAGTATTGATATTCAGCCTGCCCAGGGTTGCACAAATAATTTTTGTTTACTCGGTCATTTAAGGAAACGAATTGGCTAAAGTAGAGAAGGAACAAACTTACGTAACTGAACCTGCAATTCCAACATGCCCACAGATCATGCATTTCTTACCAATTTGCACATTGTGACCTATCTGAAAGAAAAATATCACAAATGTCATTAAGGAGATGTAGATTAATAATGATTCACACGTGATAAGTAAGGTACCTGAACCAAATTGTCAATCTTTGAGTGATCTCCTATTACGGTATCTCTCCAGCTGCCATTAGGTTTTCATCGTGATTAACTATTGTTCAAAACAATCTACAGAATTCCAACTTCTAAAATCAAGCATAATATTACAAATTAGCATTCAGCAACTGATCATCTACCTGCCCCGGTCAATACATGTGTTCGCTCCAATTTCAACATGGTTGCCGATCATTACTTTTAGTAGCTGGAGAAGGGTGAGAAATAAAAGTTCACTTATAATGAACACTGCACAGAAATTGGAATGATATCATATGCAAAAAACTACAAAAAAATTAAATCAGACAAACAACTTAAGAAACATTCACGTGGTAGAGATTGAATAATAAAATGAAAGGACATCAAACAACTTTAGTCGAAAAGCATTATATCGATCATGAAATAACATAAATCACCTGCGGCTTCTTCACCATATTACCATGTTCATCCACAAAAAACCCAAACCCTGAAGGGCAAAAAGAAAGACTCCAGTTTGTTAGATGTCTAACACGTATTAAGGTCAAGAGGATGGATATTTAACAAGTAAATGTGAACTCAGTTTTTCCCTTACCATCCTGGCCAATGCATACCCCATTATGGATGACACAAAAATCACCAATGTTGCAGTTGGTAAGAGAAACATTATATCTATGCAGGAAGAGATGAAAAAACTGGAGTTATAATATAATTAAAAGAGTCTGGAACCACAATCATTTTGCATCGTATTTGCTTGCTGGCAAAACAAAGAAACTTTCATTCAATTTCTTCTAAACATCTGAATAATGGAGAAAAACGAAAGCAGTAGTTGTGCTGGGTCTTGAACTAGTTATATGCACAAGACTCCAATACCAAACTCCACGGAGCATTACAAACTGTTGACATTTGTCAAGCAATGTCCTCAGTTCAGCTGAAGTATTACAGATTAAGACAATTCTTATACTACACTCTTTTAAGATGAATAAGGTTAGTCTAACAGAACCTTCAAGTTATGATTTTGAACACAATTTCACCTAATCATTTGCTTATGAAGAACATTGAGTGCTTGATCAGGGCAGGGTTAAGTAAACATAAAAGCCGAGCGAAGTACCCAAGTCTAGTGGATACACCAACTGTGACAGCCGGTCCAACGATAGCGCCAGAACCTATAAAGGCATTTTCACGTACATGAGCTTGTGAATAAATTATGGCACCAAACTCTATAACTGCTGTTCGATGAACATCAGCTAACTTATGGATAGCTCCGCCTCCATTACTCCACTTCCGAAACTCGACATCAAATTGAGGATCAAGATCTCCTGGGCTTCAAAATAAATCTCAAGTTAACCTTTACTAGAAGCATCCAGCTTCAACAAGAAAACAAGAAACGCAATGACAACTTCTGTCAACAACAAGAAAAAAGCCCCTAACTTGATTCAGCCATGGAGCACCCCAATCAAAGACTAAATCTTTAGAATGCACAGACCCGCTTCTTACAGGCATTTCCACAAACACTTGAAGTACTATAATCACTGCGCGAAAATTACCAAAGTAAAGAGATAAAACGAAAGTAGAAGTCAACTCACCGAACTTAAGGGTATCCCCTTGACGCAGAGGGTTGGCCTGATCGGTGCAAAAGTTGCGGGCAATGCAAGTGTTTGATACGGGTCCCTTTGAATTAGCTGTAATATAGGAAATAGGGTACGATGAGGAAGAACCAATTCTAATCAATTTTCTAAAACAAATTGCCATTCTTAAGGCTTTGCAGACAATAATCTGAAGTTGAGCGAAGCAGACAACCAATTCCGAAGGACAAGTCGAGATTAGTGAGTAGTGACTGTGCGGATTGGTATTAAAAAGGTCAAACGCAAACGGTAACCAGTTTGATTCACAATAATAATTTACGGATCTCAATATTGAAAACGTTGGAGGGGATTGTTCCAGCCAACTTAAAGTCACCAATTTTGAAGAATTCTCATTTTATCCCTGTTATTTTGTCCAAAGTAGAAAGAGAAAGAGATGAATGACTCAAGGTAAACTAAACAAAAAAACAAAAAAATCAGACCGAACCGAACAATATACGTGTTCCGATTCAACCAAGGACGAACAATCTACCCATTCGAGTTTGGAGAAAAACGTGTATATTACCCGTCCGAACCGGGTTAATATACGCGTCCTAGTTGAACCAAGGACGCGCAAGGAACTCGTCTGCCTTGTCGCTCGAACGAGCAAGCCATGCATCCGGTTCGAGGCTTGAACGAGTTTCTTGCCCGTTCTTGGTTCAAGCGGGACAGGCATATTGCCCGGTTCGAATCAAGCCGGGACGGGTATCTTGCCCGTTCTAATTTTTTTTTTTAATTTTTTTATGTACTTTTAATTCTGTTTTTTTTTAATTTATTTTTTTGTCATTATATTATTTTATGATTCTTAGTTGATTATTTGTTTAGTTAGTTTAGTTTTTAATTAAATTAGTTTTTTTGAATTAGTTATGTTAATTAATTTAATTAGTTAAATTTTATTTAATTTGGTTTAATTAATTAGAAATTATATTATTTTATATGCGAATTTTAATTAATTATAGTAATTTAAGTTTAGTTATAGGGAAATTTAATTTAATGTATTTTTATGATTAGTTGAATATTTGTTTTTTTATAATAATTTTGTTTAATGCAATTGTATGTTTTTAATTATTTATTAAAATTGTATATATATTATTTATTTTTTAAAATAATTGTAAATTATGTTTAATTTAGTTTATTATAGTGCAATTTTTTTTTTGTAATTTTATGTTTAATTTGCAGGATTCGTTAAAAGTGTAACATAATTACTATTTAGAGTTTACTATAGCGGTCAAAGTAAAAAAATTCTTGGTTTTGAATTTTTTTATAAAAAAAATTAAATTCTGAATTATTTACTGTAACTCGGTAAATTTTTTAAGTTACAGTGAGTTCGAAGTTAAAAGTGCAACATAATTACCATTTAAGGTTTACTGAGGCGGTCAAAGTAAAAAAAAAAATCTTGGTTTTTACTTTTTTTTTAAAAAAAAATTGATTTTGAATTACTTGTAAAATTTTTTAAGTTATAGTGTGCTCAAGGTTAAAAGTACAACGTAATTATTATTTACTTTGTACTTAAAGTAAATGGTAAATGAAAAAAGTAATTTTGAAAATAATGTAAATTTTAAAATATTATAATAATATTTTAACAATTAAATAAGAAAATGTGAGTTTTAAAATATTTTTAATGATTTAAATTCTAATGAAAATTGAAATTAAATTAAAAGGCGAAAATACCCATGATTCCGGCATGTCAATGCTCGGAAACAGTGAAATGAGACCATTCGGACATTTTAGCTTTTAAATAAAATCATAATGTGAAAAAACAACTTGGTTTTGGTGGGCTCGTAAAATTTGGCGGCTAACATATATAAGTTCTCGGTGAAGACTAGTAGTACTAATATTGGTTTTGGGAGCATACTACTTTGCTTTTCTAAAAAAAGAAATTTTGAAATCAAAGTGGAGCTGTAGTTAATCTTCGTAATCCTTCCATTTCACTAAAAGCAGAATTTTGCCACGATGAAATGGGTATTCATAACTGTTACACATCGACATAATTATTGCGAAAGAAAATTTTGGTCAGTATACCAAATTAATACTATGATCTTTGACAATTTCTGGTGATCGCGCGCATTTGCCTTGTTCATGGTGAAATCAAATCATACTTAAAAAACGGGGGAGGGGAAAAAACAGAAATACTTGATCATTACAAGGCTTTAAAACACGATTTTGAAACTTAATTTGGTGAAGAAAAGAGACAGAAACTTATCGTCTCTCTGGAAGTTAAGAATTTATTCATGTTCCCGTTAGAATTAAAATTTATTCCCGTGTCGATGTATAAAAAATAATTGGGAAGCTGTTGAGCGCCTTAAAATACCCTGTGTTGACGATAGTATTCATCCTTTATTCAAAGTCAACGTGAGTAAAAATGATAGTCGTCGTGGGTAATCTACCTCACTTTAGTAATGGGGGATACCGAATCAGTAGTGGAGAAGAAGACCTGGGTTTAATCAGCCAAGTCCTCGCTTTAGTAAACCATTACTTTGTCCAAACCAAACGCGGTTATCCGTATATTGTTTTAGATCGGGACCACCGTTTTTACGAGTAAACAAAGATTTTGTAGAACATACTATATTTAAATTATTTTGAAATTGTTTTGATCATTTCTCATTAAGCATGGGATGAGGATCTCCAGAAATCTAGCATCGATCATCTCATCGGTCTTTCTTCTCAGCACATTATTCAGCTTCCATGTTTGCGACGCTGATACTCAGGCAGTATATTGCCCCAACAATACAGTTTACGACAATAGTACTGCTAATGGTAGGAATTACAGAAACAACCTTGATTCCCTGCTCTCTGCTTTGGTTTCAAACGCTTATCAACCAAGCGGCTTTTACAACTACACCGCCAATATCAACGGGGATGCAGCCGCCTACGGCCTGTTCCTCTGTCGTGGAGATATTAACGCCAGTGAGTGTGGAGACTGCTTGACGACTGCCCGGACAGATGTTTTAAGACTCTGCCCGGACAGAAACCAGGTCACTATATGGTACGACATTTGTATGCTTCGGTATTCGAATGAATCTATCTTCTCAAGGTTGGATATAAGCATTGCCTGGTACTTTCGGAATACGAAGAGTTCGCCATACCCGGGGCTGATGAACCGGATTTTAGGGAACAGGTTTGATGAGATAGTGGCCAAGGCGGCATATGATTCTTTGTCTTCCGGCAAGAAATTTGCGGTTCACGTAGCCGATTATGCCGAGTTGGGTATTACGGTTTATTCACTAGGACAGTGCACTCCGGATCTTTCGGGTTTGGATTGTGAAACATGCCTTAGAGAAGCTATTCGGAATCTGCCCAATTGCTGTAACAGTAGTCAGGGAGGTAGTGTTCTTCTCCCCAGCTGTAATATTATGTACGAGAGCGCTCCATTTTTTAACCAAGTTCAACTTCAAGCTCCTCCTCCGGAGTCCCCGGCAACCGGAAGCGGTCAAGGTACGCCCTTTGATTCGATTTATAATTAATTATTTTAGTGCGAGAGAGTGAGATTCATTTTGTTTCAATCGATGACCTGTATTTCCATGTTTTTCACACAAACAAAAGTCAATCTAGTTAACCCACATCATTCCTCCAACTGAAAATATCCAGATTTTGGCTTACCAATGGGGTTATCTCTTATTGTAATTTTCTATCTATAAGTTGTCTTGATGTGTAACAATTTGGCAAGGGTCCAAAACAGATCAAACTATAAACTGTAGGGGTTTATCAGATAATTTTCTATAAGACCAAAAACTTTTTTTTTTAATACATATATTGATGCATTAAATTGCTTTTTCAAAGGCGTGATTGTTATAATTTTATTTTACTTTTTCTGGGTGGAAGAATTTGCGTTAGACGGGTGTCATTTTTTTTAAGATGTGAGTTGTATAAATTTCGAGGCGAGAATGAGAGTTGTATATACATTGCTCTCTTTCACTACATATTTTCTTCTTTATTAACCTTAACTAGAGTGATGATTCAAATTTCATTTTTATTTATTGAGCTGCTTGCTATCTTGTCTCAAAACTGAAACTTTTACAAAATAAAAATAACAATATCAAATAAATGAATATATATATATATATATATATTCTTTTCTTTTCTCTTTGGATTTTTGAATCAATACAGGTAGTGGAGGAGTTTCAACCCGAACAATTGTATCCATTGTTGCCCCAATCGTTGCTGCCGTTGTTGCGTTTGCGGTGGTGTTTTCCTTAGTGAAGAAGGCCAAAAGGAAAGAAAATGTCACACTGGAAACATCAGGTGAGGAGGTGATTTAAATTAAGTTAATAAAGAATGTAAGTGCTTGTTATCTCCTTTTGTGTTTTGTTATTTGTATAGCACCTTGAGGAAAATGGAAAAAAAACTAAAAGCCCTTAAGCTATAAAGTTGTGTAAGAAGTTGAGCTAAAACACTAAATAAAAACTAAGCTAGCGTCAAAAGGAGATCCCTGCCTATCGGTAAAGATTCATGAAGATACCAGAAAATATCGAGATCAATTAAAACAAGTGACATTTGGTATCCACATATGTCAGCACATAGGGAAGGATTAAAAAAGTTCAGTGTATGCTATTGTTGCTGCAGGGGTAAGCAGTATCCCAACTGATGCAGAATCTTTGCAGTACAATTTTAGCCAAGTTCAAGATTGTACAAACTACTTTAGTGTTGAAAACAGAATTGGTGAAGGGGGATTTGGCGTCGTGTACAAGGTACACTTAAAATTAAGATAAACTTTCCATTTGAAAACGAGCATGCATTCTTAACTTCTGAATTCTACTTAACATCCTTTGCAACCTATTTTAATACTATTTTAATTTGTTGTATTATTTTACTCAAACAGAGGGAATGACTAAAATTAAATAGGGCAGTAACTTTATAGTCACTCCCTGCACAACCCTTCAGTTTTTGGACGCCATGGAGAATGCCGGAAATGTAAATAACAAATCCAAGATTAGTAGCATGTTTTTTTTACTTATCATTGATTTTTAACTTTTCAGGGTACAATGCTAAATGGCCAATTGGTAGCTGTAAAGAGATTGTCTAAAGGTTCAAAGCAAGGTACAGAAGAATTCGCTAATGAAATTGCACTAGTGGCTAAACTTCAACATAGGAATCTGGTTCGACTACTTGGATACTGCTTGGATGGAGAAGAAAAACTACTCATTTATGAGTATGTTCCTAACAAAAGTCTTGACTACTTCCTTTTCGGTAAGCTTCAATCAAGTAGTGCTACGGCCCTTATAGCAAAAGAAATTGGGTATATTAAAGTACTCCCTTGATGACCCAATGTATTTTAGTATCTCTTTTTTTTCTTTTTTCTTTTTTCTACTTAAAAAAACCACTAGTTTAGTCACGAAATTAATTACTTTCTTGATCAGTTAGTCAAAATGGAGTTTTATAGAAATCTCA